TCAGGATTATCGTATTTGCACCAGTCATATATTTTGTCATCTATTGACGTCACGCAACACCAAATATGGTATATGTGGAGCTAGTGAAATGGCCGCAAGTGCATCACGAAGGGCCCAGTATACTCCAATGTAGCGTTGACGCGCGCGCACGCTGGGCACAGCGACGCTACGTTAGCAAAAGGTGAGAATGCTATAGGCTGACGCCATGCGAGACCAGCGTCCGTCGGCGCGGCCCGACGGCAACCGGTGCGAAACGCGACATACTGCGTTTCGTGCCACTGCCTTACCCAGATAACACTGCGTCTCCCTCTTTTCGTGACGAAGGGACGCCAAACGCGCTGAAACGCGCATGCGTCAAAGCGATGCAGCGCGGCGCGCAGCTGCGAGTATATGGCAGCACCGGCTCCTGGTGTGGCAACTCCGGCGTGACGCGACAAAATAAACGCCGGCGAGCACGCACGCTGCGTCACGTCGAAATGTGTTGGCACCTTGACTGTGGCATATAGTCATATTCTCACAATACATGCATCTCATGATTGTCATGTTTGCACCAGTCACATACTTTCATCATCCATTGGCGTGACGTAATACCGAATTTGGCATATGTGAAGCTAGCAAAATGGCCGCGAGCGCATCATCAGTGATGCACGTAGTCATGTTGTTACATGACACGCATGTCGTGATTATCGTGTTTAGATGTGTCATTTACCTATGTCGTCCGTTCGCGTCGCGTAAAACCGAGTTTGGTACATGTGAAGCTAGCGAAACGGCCGCGAGCGCATCGTAAGCGTAGCATGTAGTCATGTTCATGACACGCATCTTATGTTTATTATGTTTGCACCAGTATCGTTCCTTCGTCATCCATTCACGTCCCGTAATACCAAATTTGTTATATGTGACGCTAGAGAAACGGCCACGAGCACATCATGAGCGTGGCATGTAGTCATTTCGTTACATGACACGCATGTCATGTATTCATGTTAGGCTCTGTCGCTTGTGTTCGCCATGCAATTATGCCTCACCCCACCAGTTTTGCAACATGCCATGTGAATGAAACCACCGCAAGAGATGCAGAACCAAGAAATGTAAATCATGATATTCATGACAGGCATTTCATGATTTTCATGTTATGACTAGTCAAATATATTCTTCATACAGTTGTGTTATGCCATACCAAGCTTGGAATTGATACCATTATCGAAACGGCCATTAGAGCTAAAAGTCGTAGATAGATAGATAGATAGATAGATAGATAGATAGATAGATATATAGATAGATAGATAGATAGATAGATAGATAGATAGATAGATAGATAGATAGATAGATAGATAGATAGATAGATACGCTCAAAGTCGCCGAAGTTCGCTAAGAAATGCTTGGCATTTAAAATAGTTTAGACTCTTTGTAGATAATACTATCGGCATCAAAGGAAACACGAACGGTAGATGGATTGCCTGCCGTAAGCATTAAAGAAGGTGCTGTGTGCACATTCACTCATCACCATAAATAGGTCTCCTGTGCATATTTGGAGTGGTAGCACTGTATGATTCCCCTACAGTGCGTTTTCTTTTCTGTTAAAGTTCTAATATTTCAAAACTAATGCATCGAAAACTAAAATGAAAGTGAAACAACCAAAGCACTCAGAACGCCCGCATAAGCCCCTATCGTCACCATATCATTTTCAGAACGCAAACAAAGATAGTGCACAACAAAAGGATCACACAGTGCTGCCGAACAGGATGTTCGCACCCGTCAATGGCGATGACTGGACGGAGTGCACAATACCATCGCTAATCACTGGGCCATGCGCTCCGCTGTTCGCGGTTCCTAAGTCTGACACCAATAATTCACGGTTTACATTGAGTGGACAAACCTGTGAGAACCGTGAGTGGGGAGGGAAATTTCGTCCAGCCCCTTTCACATGAACCATCGAAGACAGATCTTAGCGCGACTTCCTCGCTAACCGGCCATGCCACGCTGAATACGGCGATTCTTGTTCGGGAGACCACAGAGTACCCCGCGTGGGTGCGTTTCACAATAACTAGTGCATGACGATGTGCATTACGCTGGTACCGTAGATTGCTACTGCCGAGTATTTCGTCCAGTCACTGACATTGTCACCTGTTCCCCTCACTATCGCTGTCTTTTATCCCCTGATGCGTTTCGCATTTGCTCCGCATTCCTTTTTCACCCTGCTGGCCAAGGCGACGCTGACGCCACTCAGTATTGGCCGCGAAGGCCTCCGCTAGAGAGACCAGCGCTGCGATCGTTTTGACGTCCCAGATAGGATGCGTAGTTATGGAGTACGGCAGCTTTGCTTTCACGACACCACTTGCATTGTCCCCCATGGCTGCACCGGTTCTTAGTCGCTATTTTACGATGCAAATTAGACACGAGAGTGCCTCCGGGAGCACCAATTCTTACTTTGCTTGCCCGTATTATCGGGTCTTACCGCTTCTTTAAAGGGACACTAGAGTCAAATAACAATTTACGTCACAGTGGAAGTTCAATGTATGACAACAACTAAAACGACAATATTATCAACAACAGTGTCCTACTTACCAAACAATTAAGGAAAATGAACAACACAGGCACCCCAGTAGAACATTCTTAAATGATCCCGATGACACCAGACAGACCACCTACAGTTATTCACTAGTAATCGATCGATTTCAACAAAACAAAGAACCTTCAGTGCGTCCAGAGAAGCAATAAAATGCTGCCTGTTTGTTCCTGTTTGATTCATGAAAAAATAACCGCCGGACGTTACTATGGGGAATGACGCGAATGGTTCGAAAAATTCAATTTTCGCGTAGTTACACTGGACAGGTGGTGTGATCCAGCGGAGCGCAGTTGAATAAAGAAAAAAAAATTGCCCGCAGCTTCCCTCGGGGGAACACTGAGGAGGATGTGGAGCATATAATTGGTTAACGGGGTGTTAAAGTGCGACTTACTTGGGTCGATGGCTAAATTGGTTAACGTGGTTGTAGGAGGGGGTGTTAAATGAGTGAACACGTACACACGTATGCGAAAGGGCGGCGCTGGTCGAAGGGACGTCGATCATTGTGTTTGTGGATTCGTTGGAATTCATTTCACCGCGACCTTGGACGTCGACGCGCCGTACAAACCAACCGACGAGCGGCAACTGAGCGAGCGAGCGCCGACCTTGAGTATATATACAGCGTGACGGCGCATGCACTGTCAGCTGTTGAATGTTCTCGAAGCGCGACGTCACATGCGCGTCCACTGGAGAATCAGGAGAATTGTAGATGTCGAACGCGGTGTGTAGAGGAGGAAGGGTGCACAGATGGTGGAGGAGTGAAGCGCGCGTGGTGTGTAGAGGAGGAAGGGACGCACAGATGGTGGAAGAGTGGGCGACGGCGCGACGGCGCATGCGCGCGCGTCAGCTGTCGAATGTTCGAGAAGCGGTGCGGACGGCGCGGACGGCGCACTACAAGGCGCGAGTATAAGATGCTTCCGCATCTAAAAAAAACGTCTGCGATCTTGAAGCCAATGGTGGGAAATTGATCAATGGCCGTTGTTGCTCCTGTGGCTACCACTGCTTTCGGTCTGCTGCGACTAGCGCAGTAAAGCCGGGCAACGTTGCGCCCGTCAACAGTGACGTGAGACGGTCCGGTTGGTCCGCTTCTTGCGGCGAGTAATTTGAAGTGCACTAACACAATGCGGACTACTAAAACTTGATTTTATTTGAAAACAGGCTCTTATTTGGCCCAAAAGTAACACTACGAGGTTTCTGAAGTGGTACTTTAACAATCAACGTCGACTTAATAGTTGCTTTTAGTGTGTCTTAAAGCATTGAGTTTCAAGACAGAGAAGGACGCACGGTGTCCACAGCAAAAGCGCAGAAAATGTGGTGTTCAAGCAGAAAAAGTTAACCCGGCATCCTATGAGTGACGTCATAACGTAGGCGGCGCCCAGGTATGTTCTCGAGGCCAATAGGAACGGGTGTTGAAGACCTGAGCTATAAAACATGAAAGTGTCAGTGCAGACAGACGGCGAAAAAAGTTTTCAGCACGCACGGGTTAAACGCAATTCTCTAAACAACCTACGAAAGTATACAATGCGCCACCAGGTTGACGCTAAGAGGGTGAGTTGTGGGAGTAAATGAGGGCACATAATTTCTGATAATTTAGTTACGAAGAATGTCAATAGCGATTGCTGTGGCTAATTTTTTTTATGCAATCTGCTACCCATACTTCCTCGCCGTCTTCTACCTTACAGTGTTGAACTGATTTATTTTTGCTCATCGGGATCTGTACTGCGCTATCGAGGATGACGGCTCGCGCGTTGAAACGATTTCTTTTTCACACGTGTATCAGGTGCCTCCCAATCGAGTGACATGCATTTATGTATTGCCATATGTCGCCCTTCACTTCTGCTTTGGTATTGTCGTTTTATTGATATGCACATTTATACAAACACCACTCATGCCACGCACTGTATTCTTAATTAAAGCAGGCCCCACGGCCGAAACGTCAACAAAACTACTTCGTATTTGCGTCTACTTTATACTTTATTGCGGATAATTTCACCTGAACCAAGCATCACTGTTTTTCTTCTATCTCTCTTTATATATATATATATATATATATATATATATATATATATATATATATATATATATATATATATTCTGTTGCTTTCATCTTCCACTCGTCTGCAAGTTTTTGTGAATAGTGCGTAGCCTTCTCAAATAAGCTGGTCCGGTGGACAGGCATGCAGTTTGTTGACAGCAACATTCTCCTAATTGATTTGGCTGTTCTCGACTGCATGATGTTCTCTTAAGAGAGCACTTCAATATTACTTTGTTACCCACTTATATAGGCTCCATTCACGGCGCCACATCTGCTGGTCTAAAATGCTATTTGAATAATATCCGATTGCTTGTAAATAATCTTCCTTAAAGCAAATTGTAAGCTTACACTTTTTGTTGCAGTCGCGGAAGAAGTGTGTTATTAATGTGACCGTAAACCGAGCAATAGGTTTGTTGGTAATTTTTATTGGCAAACAACTTCGTATAACACGTTGAAGCGGGCCACCTTGACATCGCGGCTTGCAGTAGTTAATTAGACTTGCCTGAAACGGAAGGGGAAACACGGTTAAAATCTAGACACTGTCTGATGTTGTCAGCCGTATTGAACGCGAAGTTGGAGGATATCAGAAAAAAAAGGCACACTCTTGTCACATACATTATCATCGCGATGATGAATGGTTGAACGGAGAAAAGAAAAGCGCGTCTTTCTACGGGTCCTAAAATCAAGCCAGGGTTCTCCAACATAAGTCACCAGATACTTTTGCTGCATTAATATTACTAATAGTAAAATAATGATATTAATACCGTTGTTCTTTGCTAAACAGAGCAAATAACGAGAAGACATAAGAAAAAACAAAGGAAAGAGCGCTTCTGAGGATGTAGCCATACAAACAAGCTCGAACGCATACTTTATTCTAAAACAATGCTGGTGTGATTATTGTTATTAATATTGGTAGTTATAAAAGAAAGAGGAAGGAAGGAAAAAATACGTGAATCTTGAACTGATTCGCCGTCACAAAAACCTGCTGGAGAAGATGGCCTCGTGGCATCACATTTACCTCGACCGTTGCCAAACACTCCGGAAGGAGTGCGAGGCGAACGTAGGAGGGACCCTAAACTTTCCCGCAATGATTACTAACCGTTCCTCCTCTCCACGCCACCCATTCACGAATCCCGCTATATGTTATCCTCCACCAAGCTTCACCCTCTCCACGTTTTCACCTCTTTTCTACCAGGCTCAACTCGCTACACCAGACCACCTTCTGGCCCACCTAGCACTGCAAATTATCTCCCTCTCGTCAGGCTTCCCTCCCTTCAGATACAAAAGCGAAAGCGATGGATGTGACCTTTATGGATCCCCAGTAATTTGCCTTGGCCCTAGGCAGGTCCAGTGTGCAAAGCCTTGGCGTTCCTGGGAATTGGGTCTAAAACGATTCTAATATGTACGAATGATCAGCTGCTGCCAGTCTTCAGTGGGTGTAATATATAGTACGCTCATTATGAAGACTGCTGGTATTTCCTGACCTAATGCATTTTTTTCTCGTTTCTTTCATACCCATTTATACAGCGGTATATATTCGGCATGTGCGTCTTTGACTAGAAAAAACATACATAGGTAATTTTAAGGACCGTAGCGCTTATCACGCTGTGCTGACCATGCAACGTTTGCACGAACAGGCGAATGTTTCCAACGCTTTGCTAAAGCGAGACGGTGGTGGCACCTACCCGTCGCCTTGCGTTCTACACCTTATCACCTCTGAGACGGGCGCACACACCCGTCTCAGAATCACGCACTTTGTTTTCTAGAAAAACCTGCCATACGGCAGGTTAGTGAAATCATCGGTCTTTTGAGGTGCCTCGCTTCTCCGTCTTGCGGTGATGGACATGGAGCATGCCAGAGGCCCGCCTGGTCACAGGTCCTCACCCCCGTCAACCACAAGGAAGCGAGCTGGCTCTCCCAGTGACACTGAGGACACCGATCTCTATTCTATGTCGGAAGACGACACATCCGATGGCAGCTTTATACCTGTCCGGGGTAAGAGGGTAAAGAGAAGGACGGCGAATACAGCAGCATCAGCTCCTGCAAGCACAGCGACTGTGCATTCAAGGCCTGCGCGCTGGCCGCGCGTCATCATCTTCATCCCGAAGATCCATCAAGCAACCTACGGCTCCTGAACAGGCAAGCCCTTTCGGTTGCTCTCGAATGTGCGGTGCCACATCAAATTAAGGACGTACGAGTAAACCCAAGGAAGGACATTCTCGCCATAGACGTACACGATGTGAGTGCGCTAGGACAGCTGCAGCAAATGACTGAGCTAGGTGGCATTAAAATGCGCCCCTTTATCCCGATGGATGACACATCAATTTTCGGTGTAATTTATGACATCGACACTGCCATTCCTAATGCTGACTTGTCTACCCTCATCAAGCCTGCAAACGAGGGAACTGTCATTACGCAAGTGCGGCGCCTTGGAAATACGCGCTGCGTAAAAGTGTTTTTCAAGGGAGATTGCATACCGTCCCACGTTAAAGTTGGACATTTTCGACATCCGGTTCGACCATTCATCCAAAAACCACTTCAATGTCATCAGTGCTTCAGGCTAGGACACGTCAAGGGCGTATGCCCCAACTTACGACTGTGTCCCCACTTCGCTGAATCTCATGCTGAAGACGCCTGTCGGGCGACTACTCTGAAGTGCGCCAACTGCAGTGGTCCTCATGCTGCCTCGTCGAAAGACTGTCCTCGAATCCAAAAGGAGCGCGCAGTTCTAAGACAAATGGCCCGAGACAACTCAACACACAGGGAGGCAGGAAGTAGTCCGGCGTCGGCGTCGACGTCGGCATCATCGAAAGTCTTCAAAGAAGGCACATTCCCGAGACGCTCCTTCCCACTTTTTAGCGGTTCTATCCAGTAGCGCCGCGAAAGGGCCCACCACCTCTACGAAAGAAACGGAGAAGCCTCCTTCTCTGGAGGAATGGCCCACGCTCCCGACGCGCTCTTCTGCCAAGGAACCTCTGCAGGTTGTGGCCACACAAGAGCCGTCTCCAATCATGGAAGATTTGCCTAAAACTGATCGTCAAGTGATCTCGGTGCTGCGTTCTCTTATAGAAGCCATCCGAGCGATATTAGTCGACATGAAGACACCATCTGCTCGAAGCGCACTTGGGCTATTGGACGCCCTAAGCCCAGTGCTTGAATCTCTCAACTAGGAAGATGGCTACTCATACCTCAACATTTCTTAAAGAAGTCAAGGCTGCATCCGTCATCCAATAGAACGCCAGAGGACTAAAATCACGCCTTTCAGATTTTCGTCAGTTTGTGTTTACCAACGTGTTTCCAATCATCGTCATTTTTGAACCCCATTTGTCGAAACCAATAAGACTATCGGGGTACGAAGCTGTCATGTCTTCAACGAACGGTGCGTGCAGCAAAATCATCGTCTTTTTTCGTCGTGAACTGACGTATGTTGTGCAACCAATTGCACCTCACGATGACAATCAGTATGTCTGCATCACTGTGAAAAAGAACCAACTCATGTTTACTCTCATAGGCGTTTATATATCGCCGTCAAGTAATCTCGATTCCAGGAGATTAGCGGATATTTTGAGAGTGTGTCCTGCCCCATGGGTCCTCATAGGTGATTTCAATGCGCACAATCACGCATGGGGAAGTACGCGGACAAATGCAAGAGGACGCAGGTTAGCAAACATCGCCTACAACTATGGCCTTACTCTCCTGAACGAAGGCAGCCCCACTTTTCTTCGAGGGGTGACATACGGCAGCTGTCTCGACCTTGCTTTTGTCTCCAACTCCCTCGCGAGATACGTCAAGTGGTTTCCAGATGTTGAGACACGAGGAAGGGATCACATTCCAATCTACCTTAACATCAAAGGCTTGTCTAGTTATGGTCCACGGACGACCATTCGAGCAGTCCAATGGACCAACTTCAAATCTGACATGGAAGATGCTTGCAGCGATGGCCTACAATCTGGGTTAGAGGAAACAATTAAGAGCACAATGCAAAACGCCACTCGCACGGTGACGATATCTTCCACACGAAACGACTTTGATATAGAGTTGGAGCGACTCCGAGCACTGCGACGCCGGGCGGAGTGTCGGTATCGGCGTACAAAATCAATTCACGAGCTTAGGGCGGCCAGGAGGATGCAAAAGAAGATTCGGCGTCGCATGGATAGATTAGCGTCGGAACGATGGACAACGTTTTGCCAGTCACTAGACCCTCGCAAGCCACTCTCACACATTTGGAAAACGGTGCAAGGTCTGCGTCACCCTACGGAACAGCGCTTTCCATTCAAAGCGCTCGCGCTATTTCAAAGGAGGCAAGACATCGATGTCGCAGAAGATTTCTGTGTGCAGATCGCCAACCAAGCCACTCGTCCAAATCCTCCAGTGAGAGGTGACGTCCCCCGTTCCCGTGACTACCACATGGACCTCCTTTTTACAATGGAGGAGCTCGAGGCGGCACTAGCTCTCTGCAGGCGTTCAACTTCTCCGGGCCCAGATGGTATTCCGTACCGAGCCTTGCGCAACCTTGGGGAAGGTGCAAGGAGAGAACTGTTGAGCCTCTACAACATCTCGTGGCAGGATGGCAATGAACCTGATGACTGGAAAGTAAGCCGCTTGTTACCCATCTTGAAGCAGGGCAAATCCCCACTCGAACTAACCTCATACCGCCCAATAGCACTGGCCAGCTGCGTAGGGAAGATAATGGAACGGATGATACTAGGCCGCCTGGAGTGGTATCTTGAATACTACAAGATTTATCCGAATTCAATGGCTGGTTTCCGAGGCGACCGCTCTTCTATTGCAAATGTCGCTGATCTAGTTTCGTACGTTCAGCACGAAAGACCCCGTAAGCGACTATCTGCAGCTTTGTTTCTAGATGTGAAAGGCGGTTATGATAATGTACTACATGAAGCCATTTTGGGTGCTCTTGCGGTGGTTGGCCTTGGTGGTCGAGTCTTTCGGTGGATTTCGAGTTACCTGGCTACAAGATCATTCCTTGTGTTAACAGAAGATGGCCCAACTACGCGACGCTATACTTCCAGGGGTGTTCCTCAAGGCGGAGTTCTTAGCCCGACGCTATTCAATCTTGCACTGATTGGCCTTGCTGAATACTTGCCAAGCACCATTAAAATCTCAATATACGCAGACGACATATGTGTCTGGACATCGGCAGTCACACGTCCTCAGATACGTTCCCGGCTTCAAAAAGCAGCAACTATGATTGCCAACTACTTGTTCAAACAAGGTCTCAGCATATCACCAAAAAAATGCGCGCTGGTGGCTGTCACTCGCAAAGCAATGACCCCTTATGTCATCTCAATCTGCGGCTGACCGATTTCTTACGCCAAAACCCACCGGTTTCTGGGCATCATTATTGATAGGGACCTCTGTTGGAATCCGCATGTGACCTATATGAAGAAGCGCCTGACCGCTATTTCTCAACTGTTCAAGTTCCTGGCAGGAAAGACGTGGGGGATGTCAGTAGACGCAATGATGGAGCTCTACAGGGCCCTGTTTTTCGGTTTCCTCAGATATAGCTTGCCCGTGCTTAGCAATACCTGCAAGACCAATGTTCATGTTTTACAGGCAGTACAAGCCCAAGCGCTGAGAGTGTGCCTCGGTCTGCCCAGATGTACGTCAACAGATGCAACAATTGCAATTGCTGGTGACTATCTGATACAAACTCACATTGTTGTAGAAGTCCTGAGAACGCACATCCGACACTTCGCACGTGCCCCCGGCCATCACCTTACACTGTTGCCTTCAGAGAGGCGCCAAGCATCGTTCGCCAAAATTATCGTGAAATACAACGATAAACTTCACCCGGGCTTCACTCATGCATCTAAACCATCCATACCACCTTGGTGTCTTATTCGACCCACAGTGCATCTTAGTGTACCAGGAATCCGGAGGAAATCTAAATTTTCGTCGCCCGTGCTGAAACAACTGTCTCTTCTTCTTTTGCACGAGAAATATTCAGACAGCATACATGTATACACCAATGGTTCCACGAACCACCAGTGTTCGTCAGGGGCAGTAGTTATCCCAGCAAGAGGTGTTACCATCAGCTTTAGGACTGACCACTCCACGGCATCTACAGCAGCGGAACTAGCTGCTTTGCGCGCTGCACTTTGTGTGGTCAATCGGGAACCACCGCCACAATGGTCGATTTTCAGCGACTCAAGGGCTGCCCTACAATCTGTGCTCTCAGCACTGCGTCGCGGCCCGTACGAACAGCTTGTTTTCGAAATTCGATGCCTTTTCCACACTTTACTTGAGAAAGGGCATCATGTGACGCTTCACTGGCTGCCAAGTCATTGCGGCATCATAGGGAACGAACATGCCGATACTGCCGCGCGGGCAGCCCTTGAAGGAACACGAGAAGAAGCCATACCACTTTCGAGGACTGATGCTGCCAGTAATCTTCGACGACTTACGCCTGAAATCACGTTTTCACTATGGTGCCCACCAAGCATCGATACGAATCGTCAACACCACCTGTTCTCTTTGATGGCTTTCCGCATGCCCACTGGACTCGACCAAAGAGAAGCCACCCTACTTCATCGCTTATGGCTAGGAGTGGCATTTACAAAATCTTACTCCTTTGTCATAGGAATGGCCGACAACGCTCTCTGCGATGCCTGTCATTGCAAAGAGACGCTACACCACATCCTGTGTGACTGTCCATTGTATGAAATCCAGAGACAGTCACTGGCGTCTGCTTTTGCGCGCATCGACAACAGCCAAATGTCTGTGGACACTATTCTGTCAAGTGCCCGAGAGAAGACACTGCAACAGAAGGCGACGAAAGCTCTGTTGAAATTCCTACGCGACACCGACTTGAACAAGCGACTGTAACAGCAATGTCACACACCGCGAAAGACAAGACTGGACTATGACTGAGTGTGCGCGCATGTGCTGCCGAATGTGCTGTTTCTATCTTCCCTCTCTGCTCTCTTTCATCTCCCCCATCCCTCTCCCATGCGCAGGGTAGCAAACCTGCTGCCTATAAGCTGGTTAACCTCCTTGCCTTTCTTTTCCTTCTATTCTCCTTCCTGCCATACGGCGCTTGTGTCTGGCGTGTGACGTGACTTGATGCGCTCGTTCGCCCCCGCTGCACGCTCGAGGCAACGCAGTGCCTCCAGAACACCATTCACGGATTTTCTTGCGCAGAACATCGAATAAATGTTTTTTCTCGTTTCTTTCATACCCATTCATACAGCGACAACGTTTCAAATGAAAACGCTGCATATATTGCTCCTAATTACGTCTCCCTCTATGTTTAAGCACTATGTCACGCCAAGCGTAGTCTGCACCACTCGTGGCAGGATATTCTCCCGTCAGATGGCAATCAAGACGCAAAGTTTAAATAATCGCTCAAAGTGTAAAAACAGACTAGACAGCTCATGAACGAAAACCCGGTTTCCGCTATTCACAAAGTACCGAATTCTGTTCCAGCAAATGGCGCCTGCAGTAACTTTTATGAAGGTACAGCCATATCATTCCATCCAATCCATCCATGAATATTAGCCTCCAAGGTAGTCAGGTTCACATCACGGAGAATCGGAAAAAGTAATTAAGCAATAGCAACGATTCTTCGTACTAACAAATTCAAGTGTGATGCGCGGTACTGCATTTCTTGCCCCTAAGCGAAACGTGGCCCAATTTTAGATCGCTATATTTACAACTGTCACCCTATAGACCTATAGGGTTTTTCACGTATTTCGCATGAAGTTTTTTTCTATGAGTTTCAACTTTTTCATGCGCGCACGTTCAACTCCTGCAGAAACGGCATCAGCCCACGCAATACTTACAGATGTTCTCTACCGATTTGCTCAGAAGGCCACCGCCGGGAACTTGTCCCAGAACGGATGACAAAAGTCTTGCGACGTCACACAGAAGACCGCTAACTGTATCCTGTGGCGCGTTGGTGAGCAGGTCTTTGACGAGGCACTAGTTAGCAAAATATATCACGAGAAAAAATAAAAAAGAAAATTCGTTACTTTTTTGTGATATAAGAATCACTTGGAATGCAAGAGTATTTTACTCAGGTATATAAAGGAATCTTTCACTTCTTTAAAGTTAAGCGTCTGCCAATTCTGAGAGGCGATATTCAGGTAATTCAGACCCAATAAATGACTTAAATAGGTGTCGCGAGTACGTGTCCCCAATTTAAAAGCCTTGCTTTTTTTGTTTTAGGCATCTCACCCCTGCTACATCTTGAGTTGTTTTTCTCCTTACGAAGTTCAATATTTCTTTTTAGAAAGTTTTCGGAAAGTGGCCCCAAAAGTTTGGGGCCCCTAAGCCCGTTGGGTATGCATGCTTTAGGTCTAGCAGGAACCAAGAGTTTTTGAATGGGGTCTGCAATGCTTTCTTTGGACACTAAACCAATCCTTAATCATTCTAATACTGGACGAGAGCCGTCACTTCAGTGGGTGCCGTTACGTTTGTGCGTGTCAAAGCTTCTGGGACAGGCATTGGGGCTCCCGCCAAACTCGTGACCAGCGTCCCCAACCCAAAACCCATACCTGGTTTGGGCTTTTCGCAAGCGCAGTATCCTAGACGCTATTTAGTGGGGCTCCAAGTAATTTCAGCCCCCATTTGAAAACTCCCTATTATTATATAATCTTATGTCATGTTTCGTTGGCAGAATTCATGACAAACTAACGAGCGGCCTCGAAAAAAACAGAATACCGGTTGTGTAAACAAAAACTTGGCATGAGCCTGATCAGTACACCAGTCTCAGCATACTTTTGTTGTCGATGATTAAACAGATCAGTGGAGCAGCCAGAATTCAAGATAATATAGTGCTAGTTCTTTTACATTACGTTAGCGTTTCAGCTGAACCATGCGCCTTCATTTGTTCGACTGTCTTCTGCACTACTTTTCACATTTCCAAACAACCTTGACCATCTAACATGCTCTGCAGCTTTTGAAACTTATCTCATTCAATAAAGCGCACAAACGTCTTTATTCCCATAAATACGTAGTCTATTGTCGTAACTGGTAAAACTCAGCATCATTTACCTCATGGCGACTGGCACTCTAATAACTCAAATGAGACCAAAACAAAAAGACGGTATATAACTAAGCATTCCGACTTACCCCGACAGTTTTACCAAGGGATTCTACAAGAGAAATCTGAAAGTAGGAAAATTATCATAGCGGGAAGGTTATTCCAGTCAACGAAGATACTTCGTAATCTCTTTATTTCAAATCATTGTGTAAATTCTACTTATAGACAGTGCAGTGAACAAAAACAAAGGGTAAAAATAAGGGAGTCCGTTTTCTCCAATTGGCAACTGTCTTATCAAAATTTACACCAATTTACAACTGTCTTATTGCTTTATTTCATGCTTAGCCGTACCAGGAGTCCCTTTATTTTTGCATACTTCTTTTTGGCCTGCAACACTGTGTATTCAGCCCCAATCTTCGCTATTTTCTTATTTCTTCTTGAATTTAGGTGCAATGTGATTAGACTACCTCGAATGCCAAACAAGCACTTGCGTATAGGGGCATCTTACAATGTAAAATAGTCAGTTCATTTGGTATCGCTTAAGCACAACTTAATATACTACGTCTTTTCAAATACAGGATTAACCGAAAATCACACTACGAAGAACCACAATTCCATCACTTGAAAATACTAAAGCCCCGTCACAAACCCCTTAATTAGTTTATATTCTACAACAATTGTGTGGTCAATATACGAAGTAGTATGGAGCCCCATAAAGGAATACTCACGTCAATCGTCTCTCCTTCTTTACATAGCTTGAGTGTATCGTCGACGCACTGTAAAAAGCAGGAACATGTAACAACTGATAAAACTTGCCCGCAGCATTTCTTTGCGCTTAAGCAGAATTGAAAAGCAGAAGTGTTCTATAGTACTCGTAGCTCTTAACGCGTCTATGGCGGCGAACGTTATATAATGATTAGTAAACTTGAATTGCTTGAGTTGTCATCAAAGCATCGATTTTATTGCGTGATCGCAAGTCATAGACCATTGCCTGATGTATATCACTCCTATTTTACTGAGCTTTCGTTGGAGCTGACTTAGAGGGTGTCTTTTTCTTATTACGCGACAGTTTTCTATTGAAAATTTAGTTAATGTCTGCTTCTTCGCTCCCTTGGCGGCGAAAATGGCATTTTCATTCCGGAAATTACATTTCAAGTTTGCTACGCGTGAAATCCAGCTGATCCACATGCTCAAATTGTACCCAATTAGTCGAAGCTGGTAGAGAATTTTTGTTTGAGAACATTGGTGAAACGTGGTGGTTAAGCCGAGAGCGTTATGTGAAAAATGTTGTTGAGAATACAGGTTGACTTTGCTAGTAAGAAATCTATATATTAATCTTGGCACTAAACCACAAATATTCAATTTTTAAACCAAACATATTTATTTTGAAAGGTCGAGAAATTTAGTTTCTGTGCAATAACTCATCGCTTGATGGTTGGGACAACTTCATTGTGTACATTCATAACGAGAGATTTTACATCACTGTGCCTAAGAAAAACACTCGAGATCATACAGCTTCGAGAACTTACTGAATCGCCCGATGGAGTCCAGGAGATTGGAGCTAGTCAGTATCGCTCTCTTCCACGTCCTTAGCTAGTTCACCCCCACTGGACTACAATTTTCTTAACTGCCTTGCAGCCTTACAATATATGAGAAATCTGTTGCACAGTATTGCAATAGATTTGCAAAATTATTGCAATTGTATTGCAATAGTACTACAGATTTGCAAAAGTATTGCAATAGTAATGTAAATTAGGTTTAATAATGATACTTACTTTACCGAGGCTATTGGGAACTGTAATTTTTACTTCTCCGTGACAGACATTGTCCTCAATGTTGTTGCTTGAAAGTAGACCGAAGAATTCAATTGAGTTCAGAAAGGTGCCAACTGGAAATATAGAAATTATTTATTCGTCTTGATAGTGAAAGTGGAGACATTCAAACTAGCAGAAGTGCCGACAGAGACTGCTCACACTTGCTAAGACTACAAGTTTATGACATTGCTAACACCCGGTAAGACCGCCAAATAGAGAAGCTTTGACTCGAGTTAGCACCAAGTCATGGTTTTTTGACCACTCTCAAAATTATCCTCTTCACTATTTGTTTATTTACTCCAAACTTCCGGTATACGTTTACGCTTTTGGCCAACGTGAAATGAACAACGTAACAAAATATCATGTGCACGAAAAGAGAACAAAAGGTAAAAAAAAAAGTTTAGATGAACACTCGATGGCTTGTGCGTGTTAATGCATGGGCACAGATTCCACAAAATTTATAGGAGTAAATGTAACCAGGCAATTCATCAGAATAATTACAGTCGAATTACACAAGAAATGAACAAATTATCAAGCAGTTGTATCAATGAAATTCAGCAGTCGGTATATAAATGACATTTATTGTATGAATAAGCTAGGGGCATTCACGTAGCTAAGGGTGCGGTTAGCGCCCTCTGCCTCCTGGCTAGGCGACTGCCGATGCGAAAGTAGCACCGACTTCATCCCAATGTTGGTAGTCAGTGCTCTTCTCTCAACTCGGCTACTTTCTTTCCGATGCCCGCTTGTTTTAGGATATGCCATCAAGTACATTTTGCTCTGACCGAATCAAAGGACGATGAAAAATGAGAAGTTTCAAGGGCATTTACCCAACCAACGTGGCCAAAGTAAATATTGTCAAAGCTGTCCTGCCCGCCATAGTGGTCTAGTGGCTAAAGTACTCGGTTGCTAACCCACAGTTCATGGGATCAAATCACGGCTTCAGCGGCTACATTATTGATGGAGGCGAAATTGCTGTAGGCCCTTGTGGTCAGATTTAGGTGCACGTTAAAGATTCCCAGGTGCTCTGAATTTCCAGTCTCCCACTACAGCGTATCTCGTTATCATGTGATGGCTTTGAGACGTTAAACGCCACATATCACTATAATCAAAGTGGTCCTAATTCTTAGACAAGGTGTCACTTTGTGTTCCACGCGCTCTTCAAGCACATATCAGAGACTACGTAGAAAATAATGACTAGTTGGTATTTTCTTAACAATTGTCGCAGCAACCCACCTCTTCACAATGTCCCTATGATTTTAATGTAATATTTTTGCAATTATCATGAAAATAAATTTTCCCTGTACTGTTTAAATCACGCTTTGATGTCGTATATAAAGATATAACCACTAACTTGAAGAAAAAAGTGATTGTAATTTTCTGAAAATTTTTTATGGAAACTTTTACAACCAGAAGTGAGAGATCGACCAAATATGCTTGTAAAAGAATCAAGGGTATGGCCTCTCGCTTGGACTAAGAAAGAAATCTCTTTGAAATTGACAGTTACTCTTGAACATTATTATTATCTATGGTGGAAGTTGAAATACTTAACACTCAATTTCCTCTAACAAGCAACCGGCTATCGAAAATAATACGCGTGTAGAGTTCTCCAAAACTGCCTACCGATTCTGTCTGGCTTGCCACAACTTTTTCGTGTCTGTAGTTTTAATACTACTCTGGGGACAAATTTTCAAAAATATATGTCACATTTGTTCAACTCACGTGGTGGTATAAGTTTTCCGAGGAGGGCAACTAGCAGATCTCTGATGGTGAGTAAGGCTCTCACGGGACTCAGGTTCTTCACTACGCCACTGACCGTGCACTGAAAAAAAAATCACTTTATGGCCTCTTCATTGTGATTTCCTCTGAATAATCATTTATTGCCTATATTTAAGTGCTTAGGCATTATTTTCAAAGACTGTATAATCGCACTCACACATAAAGCCAACCATAAATAGAATATTCCAAGACACCGGCATCGTAAACTACTTTAATCACTTGTCACAGGCGTGGAGGTTCTGATCTTTCTGTGTTTTCATCTGTTTGAAAGCACACCTACCCAGTACTGGCACTTTATACTAGCAATTGATTACACAGAATACACCAAAGAGAGTTTGGGCGATTGCGAATCCTTTATGACAAAACCGTTTATTTAAAACGTTTTCAAAAGGGGCTTTTGTTTACTTTTCTAACCTTTACGAGCATACTATATTTAGGTAACGTAAAGTAGGGCTTTGAAAGAAATGCCTTCATCAGCCAAGTATCTTTTTTATTGAAGGTAATCGAACTACGCTTGACACCCGTTTTCGGGAAGTAGCAGGTTCCACGTTGCAGAAAGCCCTGAAATAATAAAAGATAGTGATCGCCGCTACTGTACCTACGAATTAAATAGGTTAGTCAGCCTATGAGGTCTACTTCTCTCCAGGTTGTAGTATTATGAACTGTTTATCATCTGCAGACATTTTGCGCCACACATTTCAGACTTACAAGATGAGCAAAAACAAAAAGTGAGACTTACGTTTGCCAGAGACAAGACGCCCTCAGTGAGAGTCTGTAAAGCATTGTTTCCGCTTTAGAAACTGACCCAATAAAAATCCCAAATAAAAATAAGTTTGCTATATCTTGATGTGGTTGTTAGAAATTCCTGTGCGGTGGTGGGGCACTACATGCAGCATTGCGACAAGTGCTGTTTGATTCTCGAAGACAAGAATTCTTACTTCATTGAAGAAAAAACAAAGCCAATTGTTAAAACATTGGCTTATATGACACTACATGTTCAAATAGCTTTTCATTGGTTCAAGCCTCCATATACTCTTGAACATTTACCTTAAATGACGTGCAATCTACTATTAAAATTTTTGGTTATTAGAAGACCGAAGACTGTCGCGCATGCGAATACTTCCAGAGCCTGTTAAGAACAAGTCAAATGAGATTTAGGCTACTGTGCAAACTCATGTTGAGTAATTCTTTTGTCGTCTTCATTCGCAACTGTTTCTTGAACTAACTCACAAGAGCCACTTGGTGTCTGCTTACATACGCTAAAGAACAATTTGCTTCTTCGTGACAAGCGTACCACTAGGTTCACATAGTTATTATAGTTTCTGCTAAAATTCATATGTTATTTTTTCAGATTTCACAACGGCAATTGTAAACATTATAGTAGTATTTTATGAGTACCTACCTTTTCTCCCTTGCAGACGTGTAGGTTATCTCCAAGGCACTGTAATAAAATTTAAAAGTGGATTGAAAAACGTAAAATGCAGGGAATGAAAATGTGCTCAGTGATACTCTAGTTTCGTATCAGATATCACGGGGAGGTAATTTATGTGTTCAGAAGAACCTAACTACAGGTGATGCAGTGAAAAATCTTTCGCACGTTATATTTTCCTGGTTGTGCATTTCCTACATTCGGAAAGCAGCCACCGCGAATGGGTAGCTTTTGCAAGGGAACGGTAATGAAAAATATATCTACGGTGGCAGAAAAAGAAAAAAATTATTCTTAGATCGTACTTGCTTGATAGAGTACCTTATAAGCGTTCAATTCCTACATTCAGCGTTATAAGCGTTCAATTCCTACATAAGCATTCAATTTAATTGAACGCTTATGTACAACATTTAACCTTTTGTCACATAAGCAGCTTGGTTTTCATGCTAAGTTTTCTACCGTATTAGCACTAATTAAACTAACAGATAGCATAAAACAGTCCATCGATAAGGAGCTCTGGGCAGGGGCATTATTTAGAGATTTAACTAAAGCCTTCGACACTATAAACCACGCTATTTTGTATACTAACCCTAATTCCTTGGGAATCTCTGGGCCTATTTAGCCCTTTTACAAAGCTACCTCGCTAACAGAACCCAGCTTGTCAATTATGGCGGATGTTTTATTCTCACCAATAATAACTACCCAGGGAGTTTCTCAAGGCTCAATTCTGGGACCTCTTACGTTTTTTATCTACATTAACGACTTACCATCATCACTTAACTCATCTGACTGCATCCTTTATGCTGACGATACCACGGTATTTTCTAGTGACAAAGATCTTCACAATCTAACAGCAAAATTAAACACTGATGTCGCGAAACTTGTTTCATGGTGCAAAATAACCTAATGAAAATCAACCCTGTTAAAACAACTTTTATGTTATTTCACTCGTCCCAAAAAAGCGTTACAATTTCACCCAAAAGAGACATTGATAACTGCGTCACCACCCCATCAAAGTTCAGTACTTTTCTAGGTGTCACGTTAGACCCTCAACACAAATATAACATTCACGTGAATTCTGTCCTCAAGAAAACTGCTTTTGGCATCCGCATACTCATTCGCACTAGGCATTGTTTTCAGCAACACATTTTAAAATCACTTTACTATGCTTTCATTAACAGTCACCTAACCTACTGCATTTTATCCTGAGCCAATACCTACGCCACACACCAAACATCTTTCATTCACCTTCAGAAAAGAGCAGTCCGAATTATCAGACATAGTTCCTATACAGCATCAGCAGCACCCCTCTTTAGCATTCTCGAAATTCTACCGTTCATTTCCACCTTTCAACTCAAACTTGAAATTTTATTATCCAGAAGTAGAGTCTTTGACATTCACACTGACATACTTCCCCTCACACATCTCCACAATACCAATAACACACGGTTTTCTGAAAATAGTAACCTTCTGCTTCCAAAAGTAAGCATTAACTACGGCAAAATGACAGCATTGTTTTCTGCAATTTCTTTCTGGAACTCACTACCATCAATTATTAAATCAAGCCCCTATTACATTGTTTCCGGTGGCATCTAAAACAGCTCTTACTAACAACATGCGACACCTGAATATATATATATATATATATATATATATATATATATATATATATATATCTATATATATATATATATATATATATATATATATATATACATATATATATATTTGTGTGTGTGTGTGTGTGTGTGTGTGTGTGTTTAAATACGGTTATATGCATCTATGTGTACGTGTATAGGTTCTGAAGTGACACTGTATAAGTTAGTGATATATATGTTATGTTATAGTCATTTAATCCAATTAGTCATCTCCTGTTTTATCACTCACATGTAAATATTTTGAACTACCATAAGTTTCAATAAAAATTTTCTTTACGTTCGTTTTGTTTTATTCGCTTGCTGTTTTTTCCTTAGTTGCCAATCTTTGTTCCATATTATATACATGAATTCACAGGAGGTCCCCCTGACAGTTTTTACTTTGGGACATCCTTCTGTATTATATCAACTTTTTACTCGCACTGTATTGTACTGAATAAAAGATCTGTGACAAGTTAAAAAAAATTCCTACATTCAGAATTACGTTGTGCCGTGTCTGAAATGAAACGAGTGCTAAGGCTAAATTTATGAACACGATGGTTGTATAAAAGTAATTTGTTATTCAAGCTAGATACTAGTGACATATGCTGAATCTTTCGGTTGGCGCATCACTTATACTCTCTATAGCGAAACAATTTACCTAACAAACGCTGCATAATTATTAGTGGTGGAACATATTGCGTCGTGTTTAATGATTTATTGTTATGTTACGCCCCATTTTACATCTTCATGCTACTTGTAATACCAGTGAATTCATCGTGAGGTCACTCGCTAATATTTTATCAAGATTGGATACTTGATAATCAAACGTTTGCAAAATGGGCGAACTGATATTACACATGTATGATGAGGACGTGATGCCTATATTGCTCATGTGTCGCTTACAAAAAAAGTTTTACCCTCACCTCACCGAGCTGCAAAATGTTCGGGAGCGTGATTTCAATGCAGTTCTCCGTGTCATAGCCACTATCATTTTCTGAAGTCTCATCACCTGCAAAGGTGTTAACATTCCTCAAAATTGCATACTACACTATGAAAAAAATGGAAGCGAGATATATGATTCAAACAGATATTGTCAATATAACTACAGCTAATGCACAGCAAAATTTTGAGTATACTTGAAAAATGCAAAACTGTTACGCCTAGCACCATTTATGTTTTCCCAGGGGTTTCGCACGCTAATAACCCTGCTAATCAATACAACACCTTGAATTGTACTTAGAAGTATATAAAAATTAAAAATACTGTACACAGTGGGCATTATGCTTTTGAATTCACTAGAATCTACTTCATTGGCTGCATACCGAGAATATTTCAACAATAAAACACACCCATCTGGAGCGAAATATCTGCAATACGACTAAGTCATGCGTCAACTTCAGTGAATGTTGCATGCCTAGCAGCTGAAATTCGCATAGAGGCAAGCCTCTTGTACCTTTGGAGGAAGCAGTCATCTATGATTTGGTGATGGTGGCTGCAGCTATTTCAGCGCGACATGGTGGAAAGGTAACGCTAGTACAGGCAGCTTGGCCACTGTCTAGTTAAAAACACTCTTGTCATTTGTGACTCTGTGGAGGAAAGTACTGAACAAATCTTGGCGATGACTGAGAGATGGTTCAGTTACAATAGTACGCATTACAAAAAAGGCTTTCAGACATGTTTGTAAGTTTGTCTTTGTTGTCAGCGAAAATGCAACAGCTAACGTAAATTCATCAATATGTTGTGGAATTATAAGTAAATAGTGAAATCAATAAAAAAGGTAACTAGAGTTTGTTTGCTAGACCTCCCAGAATATTTTTTGTGTTCCTTCGAAGCACATCCTCCTCAATTTTTGCAAGTTATTTTAAAGAGTTATATCTGGTTAAATTTGGCTAACGCCTTTCTATACAAATTGACAACATAAAGTTGCCCTTTCTGTATGGTAACTGAATTTTAACACCGCGAGATTTGATCAGCGTACGAGCAATCACCTGAGAGTGAAAGAGTCAAGTTTAGGCAAACCATTCTCTGTTTAGTTTATGATGTGACTCCCCGAAACGTTATTCGATTCTCTGTGAGTATATGTGTCAATTCCAAAGGATATCGTGTGTAATAAATAACTTTAGGCCTGACCTGGGAATAACCTAGTTTTAAAGAAATATTTCCTAGAACGGACTCCCTTATGGCAAGATATGATTGTTTTAAGTTTGCCGTGAGAAGAAATCACCTTGGTTCACATAAAAATGACCATGCTAAAAAAGAGCTCTTTTCTCAGACGCCACAAAGTGCTTTTTACAGACAAGTGTCAGAATAACGCATGATTATTTATGTATATTGAGGTGGTGGTAAAATAACAATTGTGGAATAAATTGAAGGAACAATGCTTGTAGAAAAAAGTTTATTTATTTACTTATTCAGCTTTACGACATCCTCGAATGGTTGTGCATTGAAATTATGAGTGGGTAGATAACATATTACTGAATAAGGATCATATAGTGGAGGGTGGCTGACAGAGTAATAACAGAAAAATATAAAACATTTTACTGAACACCAGTGGCAAAACAGCATAAACGCAAACTCATTACATTCTAATTATTGATGTGAAATAATTGAACCTAAAGATGAGGTAACTTACCCTAACTGTGCTACGGTTATTGTTCAGAAAACTGACTTGCGTAACGTATACCTGAATGAAAATTTGGAAGGTACTGTATTTGAAGCAGAACAAAGTATACATACCACTAGCCCGAATACAACATTGGGCAGTCAGGAAACAGACCAGGAGAAATACCTGCGTGTACTTCATAGCTGGGCTGAAGAAGTGCAGCTGAAGGCAGAAAAGCCTCGATGAGACTTTAATGCGTCTGAATGACCATTCTTGAGACGGTATTTTTATAGGGATCACAGAGGACACAAGATTACGTCATACTGTAATATCTATGAAGAGCCTAGGAGTAACACGTTCCTGTCCCAGACGTTATGTGCTCTGTCATATCCTTATCATCGCTTTGCGTCAGTGAGGCTTATCTTATGCCCTTACAAGCGCTCTTCATGTGTGATGAAAAATGTGACTTTAAATGTCACGATAACACGTGCACTCACTGTGATATACGGGAACTACACATAAAACAATCGGGAGACGTGCTTTCATCGAAAGAATGTAGTTGAATAAGGAACAAGCTAAGCTTGCTTACGGTGTGCGCAAAATCTTAATTTTCTAGTCTGCTTTCTTTTCATAATTTTCTATACAGGAGCAGCCTTCTCCGAAACGTGTTTTTGGGCTGAATTGTTGTAGCATCTTTCATGTTTTATCCAGTGATAATCAGCCTCCAGAAAGATGACTTAGTGTTGACATGGTTAGGATATCTTAAAACGCGCTTTTGGAATTCAATTTCTTAAAAGTCAATAACTTCCGGAAATGAGCCACTCGTGTTACCTACGCTACATGTTATGTTGCATATTTATTTATGCCACCACCCCAGAATACTTTGGTGCAGGGCCCCGTAGCAACAATTCTGCTTCCCGAATCCTAATTGCCTCCTAAACGCGGATTTCGCAAACCCAGTGAGGCAAGCACTGTATATGCCAAAAGCTTTTGTGCACTTGCCCTTATTGAAAAGGTTTAGTATGTGGAGCAATCATTAGCCTGTCCGTCAGCGACTAATTCAAAATGCATTTGCTAAAGGACTACTTGATGATACCTTGTGTGAACTCAAACTGCACTTGGAACGGCGTACCACAGTGGAAGTACACAAAACGAAAGCAGCCTGTGAGCGTCGCTCTAGGAATATGCGCTTCTTCAGTGACACTCGAGTTCGCGGGCAGCCGTGTCTTGGCGTTCCAACTGTCCAGCCTTCGAAACCTCTGTGCCAGGAAAAGAAAACATATCTAATACAGTGGCCTCCTCTCGTCTTCTCTCTTCTCTACCACTGTCACTTACATCATTCCTCCTCACACTTATTTCACTTTATTATCTTATTCATATACTGTACTATGCTACACTACACTGATCCATATGTATAGATCAATCTTCTGCCTTACGCCTCACTCTCACACATCCACAACGATTCTTTTGCCGTCGGGGTGGGAGCGAGGACCAAGTTGCTCCAAATTTCACAGTATTCTTGTCTTACTACTTAATATAGCCGCTATCTTTTTGTGACAAGTGCCCGCTTCACATGCAAGTTACCGCAAACCCCACTTGAATGCTTGAATATATTCGGAAAATTTAACATTTGGTTAGATGCGACCGTAAATGAAGCATGCCGCTATACGCCGTAGCAGTGCGCGTGGACTTGGTTCCGCGCTTTCTTGCTACATTCTATGGCGAAAACGTTTCACAACTCATACTGAATAAGTCCATCTGTCCGTCCATTCGTCCGTGTCTTGGAATGGTGCCAGGTGTGGCTTCTGTTTCTCACCCTCTCTCAGCAATCATGTGACGGCACAGTGGCATGCTTGGCGGAGCTCGTTCGTCAGATGTCTCGCTGCAGCAGCTGAGTTTGCTAGAGGGCCTCCAAGCAGCCAGGTGATGATTCGACGGCAAGCGGTTCGGACAAGAGCCACAGAATAGTGTATTCTCCCAGTACCAGATGTCAAGCGAAGAAGCCCGAGGAAGCCTAAACGACAACGCAGAATCAGTGGAATGGCCACGGTCTTTCATCGAGCGCACCTTGGAATTCACAAACCGCACTTGAATTTTTACTGAGAAAGTCACAATTCAAAAGGTTCGCGTGAAAATGTACACGAATAAGGAGGCTTAATACTGGCGCTGCCATGCACATCGCCAATTCTTTCTTCAGCATTAGCAACACACTTGTCAATTGAAGAGCTGTGAAGAGTTCGTCAGTGCCAACGTATGATTGTGTTTGTGGGGTAGCATGGTTAAGATGAACTTGGCAACATTGACAGCATGATTAAACTGCTCCGTATGAAAAGCTTGAAATGCATCCACTCCTCATGACTTGTGTGTAATAGTTTAGCCAACCCGCAAAAAAAAAAGGCATGAATCTATTACTTTCTCTGTTTCACTTTTTCTAAATTTTCCCAGATATCACACCGTAATTTCTGGTCACAGATAAGCAAATTAGACTAAACTCAATTTCTTAAAACCAGCCTTCAGTAAACTAAAACGAATGAGTTTGAAATATTACTACATATAACTAAAATTTAGCTAAAAAAACCCAACATCATGGCGACTACCCGTAAAAAAAAAAAACAGGCAACATTACTCACGTAACCTCACAAACATTGAAGATAATCGTAGAATCACGCTTGCGAATGATGCACAAGCAAAAATATAAGTTCTATAAAATCAATGACTATAGGTTTTCCACGTTACACGGTCTGAAATAGTCATACACTTGTGGCAACATACACATGCTCCAAACTTTACATAAGCATATAGCAACATCTTTCTCTGAGAAAATTAGTTTGGCCGCAAGCGTGAAGTAATGAATACATTGATCTAACAAAAAATCATATCTGAATTTTACGTAGTGGTATACGAGCCTCTTTAACGAATCTGATATTGTAATGTTACATGCTTTATGATCGTAAAATCGCAGTAGGCTTCAAGGGGTGTTACTTTCGCAACTAGCGGGTGTTTTAAAACTACGCGCGTATTCAATAATCTTATAATAATCAATATACAGATATATTTATTATTCAGCAGGAGCAAAAGCATCAAAAAAGTGAACCGCCGTGTAGCTTGGCATGTTGCGTTATTGAAGGCGAAGTGGGCCTTGTTCCGATTCTCAAACGGAACATTTATGGCATAGTGGACGCTACACAAATCTGCTTGCAGCAGTCGTTCTAGGATGAGCTTTTTGGGATTGCAATATGTTGTGGTTCCAAGGGCATGGTATTTTCGCGTTGTATAACATCTATTAGGTGGCCGCTGTTAGGCCGGTGTGGTGTATTAAGTAAAGCAGTGCACCGCGAGGCATGCTATTTCGTAAGTGCTCCATCTGCGTATGCCTTCACATGTCTTTATAAGGTTGTAGGCATCTGTTCGCATGGCTGGAATAAAGCAGTACGAATACGTAGCACACAGCAGTCAGTGCGACCAGTTCCACATTTAGAGGGTCATTGGTGTAAGGGCCACCCCTGCCCGAAGTCTCCTAAGCATGACGTTCTCTACTCTAGAAAGGTGACGAGAGAGCGCGTGTTTTTCCACTATTTAAGGCAGACTGCCACCCTGTTTCTAATCATCGCGCGATATCTCTACTGCTTGCCACATCAAAGATCTTTGAGCTCGCTCTTCACAGCACGTTGTATGTTAGCGTGAAAAAATATTTGATCCGTAATCAACACGGGTTTCTGATTGGCCGCTGAACTGTCACTAATTTTGCTAGTTTCGTTACGCATATTTCTTCACCTATTTTTAAAGAGGACAAGTTAACGTAATCTACTTTGATTAGAGCAATGCTTTGACGTAGTCAGCCAGTCACTGTTTTGGTTAAACTTGGAAACGTTGATGATAGCTCGTCTGTTGTGAAACTCCTGCACAGCTGTCTGGTTATTAGATCATGTTATGTTAGACATATTTCTTGTACAAATGTATCAGTAGAGTCCCTCAAGGGTTGTACTAGGCCCACATTTTTAATTTACGTTAACAATACTCTTATGCAATTCATTATTATTATTATTATTATTGTATTATTATTATTATTATTATTATTATTATTATTATTATTATTATTATTATTATTATTATTATTATTATTATTATTATTATTATTATTATTATTATTTAGTAGTAGTAGTAGTAGAAATAATGTTATAATTGAAAAGCTCATCTGCTCATGCATTACCCGCTTAAAACAGTCCATGTAGCCCACATGGCATTCCTTCCGCTGTACTAATGATTTATGGTAGTACATTTACTCCAGTACTGATGGCGATATTGAAAAAGTGTCTGAATGCTTTCACATTTCCCAGTATATGGAAAGCTGTGCGTGTTTTAGCACTATTTCAGACAGACTACCACCCTGTTTCTAATCATCCCCCGATATCTCTACTGTTTGCCACATCAAAGATCTTAGAGCTGGCTCTTCACAGCACGTTGTATGTCAGCGTGAATAATTCTTTGATTCCTAATCAACACGGCTTTCTTATTGGCCGCTGAACTGTCACTAATTTTGCTGGTTTTGTTGCGATTATTATTATTATTATTATTATTATTATTATTATTATTATTATTATTATTATTGTTGTGTTGTTGTTGTTGTTGTTGTTGTTGTTGTTGTTGTGGTTGTTGTGTTGTTGTTGTTGTTGTTGTTGTCCAGTATGGAGTACATGAACAACAGGAGGAATTGGCGACGAGTGATTCGTTCTTTCTTAGTCATGAATAACTTAGTGCAATGGGCAAGGCCAACAACTAGATAAGACAAGAGTGCCTATTAAATTCATTACAATACAGCGATAACAGTGCCAGACGCCTAGACTTATAAACAACATACTTTCATGCTCAGAAATTATGTTTCGCAAGAAGCGAGTATTGGATTATATTCACTTTCGCTTTTCGAGATAACCTCCATTATCAGCACCTCTTCAAGAAAAAAATGACTGCATTAAGTGCACAAAAACACCTTACATCAATAGATGCTAATCTAATTCTGTAGCCTTGCGTATTATTCAAGGTAGTTCCGTGACTTGAATCAAACTATTTGTTTCGCATGAAAAAAAAAATAGCTTCGGCCTCGGCTGCTGTACCACTGATCGCCGCTTCGCATTCGATTTACGCAATTACAGCACTATCACATATGGCTTTCATACAAAGCTCACAATATCTCTTACTGATTGCTTGCTTATGTCCATGATATGCAAAGTATGCTCCTTTCAAGCGCCAGTGTCAAT